GTGTTATAAATATTTATAGTTGACTTTAGTTTTTTACCCATACCACATCGTCTGCGAAGTAATTTTCGAATCAGATGGCGTTTAATTCAAACTAATACTATTATGTGATTGAATTTTATCCCTTTTATTTATTAATTGTTTATACATTTTATTTAATAATTATTAATTTATCCAATTTTCGGATAAATTATTTGTCATATATTTTATTTTAAAAATGTGATAACTTATAATAAATTAAACGATTACATTTTTTTTTTTGTTAATTTTATTAACTAATATTATATAATAAGTGTAATTGATGATAATTTTGTGAAAACAACTGGGATTTTCTTTCGTTTTTTTTTTATCATTGAAAGCATGATTTAAATTTAATTATTTTTTACTTAATAGATAGGTTGACTACCACAGTAAAATTGTTTGCACGACTTGAAGAGTTTCTCTTGACTTGATTACTTTATATTATTTCAAACTAGCGTACTATATAAACAAAAATTTTATAAAAAGTAAGGTAAAATATATGGAGACTATACTCTGAAATTATTATTGTCAACGATCAGATTAAATCTGAAGTACACGAGAAGTTTTGTTACAATTATAAAGAATGAATGTAGCTGAGTAAAATGTTTTGAACAATGACAGAGAAATCTTTTTTTTTTTTGATAATCATGCAGGTATTTTAGTCTTTATAAAACGATGAATTAAAAAATATAATGTTACTAATCCATTTAGTTACTTTAAATTACTAAATTAAATAATAATTTTTCATATACAATTTTTCTATTATGCGTTTAAAATGAAGCCAAAATTCATTTATTTAAATGTGTTAAAAAATTTACCATTAATAACGTTTTAGTAATTTAAAATTATTAAATAGAAAAATTTTTTAATCATTGACCACTTCATTAACTAAAAAATAAACATAGTATTGAAAATTTTAATTTTAGTTACGTGTTTTTCTCAATTTGTTAACCATGAAGTATTTTTTATGTTTATCCTTATATATTATATATATTTTAAATGGTAACCCATATATTTAACTAGCTTGTAAAATGTTTAAAAAAGACTGTTCGGTAACAACTTTTGAACCACTATTTCGAAATTATTGACATTTTTATATACCTAGGTGGGGGCTAGTGTGTAGACTGGAAATGTCTAGTGATAAAAATAACAAAATACAGTCTTTACTTTTAATTATTAATAATTTCTGGAAAAATTGGTCTAATAGTTGTGATTTATCACTTATTTTTTAAATTTAATAATTTTTTTTTTAATAAGCTAGTTAAATATGAATGTTGTTGTTTAAAAACTTAAAGTTAACACTCTTATAATATGTAAGGCTAAATATGAAATTGTACTGATTGATAATGATTGGTCAATTGAGAAAAATACGTAACTTAAAGAAAGAAGGAAAATTTCCGTTATCATATATATTTTTCGATTAATTAATTGGTCAATAATAAAATATTTCAGATTATGATAGACTGAGGCAAATTTTTGACCGGCCGATCATTTCACAAATACCCTTCTTCGCTAGCGATTTATCTCCATAGTACAACCACAAGATAACTTTATAGAAAAATAAAACCATTCTCAAAAAATGGCTATATAACTTTTCTTTTTTTATACAATTTTAATATAAATAAAATGTAATCTTATAATATTTATGTTAGTATGAAGAATAGAGATTCATAATAAAAATAACAATTTACAAAATAAGAATATATATTTTAATATAATAAATCAGAAATTGACTAAAACTAATAAAAGACCCCCTATAACCCTTTAAAAATATTTTTATTAATTTTTTTTTCTATTCAAAAGTAGAAATTGTTGTTTTTATACTAATTTTGTCCTGTTAAAATTGAGTGTTAGAACAAGAGCAGTCTTTCATTTTTTATAGTATATTTTTTTACATACTTGGATACAAAATTTAACAGTAATAAAATTGTTATACTTATTACAAAATTGTAGGGTTATTAAATACATTGAATTAATTATACTTGCGTATATATCCATCTTAATTGAGAATTTAGCTAAAGTTATATAAATTGAGATAAGATTTTACACTTGTAATAATTGTTTAGTAACGCTTAAGGTATTGGCGCAGTATTACAATTTTTAATGATAAATACATTTTTTTCATTGAAACTTAGTTATTATTTATTTTGTAGGTTACTGTAATGGATGTGCGTGCATACTTAACCGTGAAATTATTAACGTATGTCTTATGCAAACAATCCCTAATGTTCAAACGCCTGTTAATTTCGACATTCGTTTTCACGCATGTCATTTGGTCTGATCACTTCAATAGGCACGTGCGAGTATTTATTTAAAGTGTTCAATGTCAAATAAAATATAACATTACATGACACGTTTTAATATTTAAAAATTGTAAACCAGTGCTACACTTGTTGTGGCGTGTTTTTTTAAAATAATTAATCCCTCTTATTTTATTTTAATTAAATTATGTAAGTATTATTTAACTATATTCTGGAGGGTATATATTTGGATATTTTCATTAAAAATTGTGTTTTCGGTCATTTCTAATACTTATCAGTTACTAATAAGGAGCAACAATTTCTAGATAACACCTATAGTGAAAAACACATATAATTAAATATATTAAAAAATACTTTCTCTTATGGGAAAATTTTTTTGTTTGTCGTTTGTGAAATGAAGATCTTAATGTAAATGTTAAAATAAAAAACCTTATGTTGTAGTTTATTTTTCTTCCGGCGTTTTTTACAATTTCAAGATAAAATTTTAAATTGTCATTAGAATAAAGAATTTTAGTCAACGTAGTAAAAAATACATTGAGCATTTTATGAAATTTTATAGTTGAGATGTTGACTGATCGCAGTAATATAGTTCCTCATTAAAAAAAAAAAATAAAATACACCGCACGATGTCTACGAAAAAAAATTATAATGGAGAGCGTAAAAAATTATCTGTTACAAAATAAGTTAGTAGGTATCTATCGTTGTTTTGTTTTTAAGCGAACACAATTAAGGGATTGAAGAATAAAAATTAATTTTACTGTTATTTATAATCTAGGTAGTTTTTCTTAATAGAAAATTGTTCAATTAGCTAGACTTGTTTTTATGGAATAATTATTTTAAAGAATATTGTTGTTATAGATAATGCTAAAAATTTACAAAAAGAATCTATGAGCTTTAAAATTTAATAGTCTTAATAATTGTGGATAAATTTATAGTTAAAGAGAAGTGGGATAATTGATAATAAATGGGGTAACTGTAAATACATTTTTTAAAGGAAACGCCTTTGTTAAAATAATGAAGTGTATACAATTTTCGGCTGAATCATAAGTTACACTTTATTTGATGACATATTGCATAGAATTAATAAAATTATTCATTTGTTGAATTAAATTATCTTTTTTTTTCCTAGGATTAAAAAAATTAATAACATACAAAAAGCTAAGATTGCGTTGATTATAAACCTTGTTTGGGCGTATAAATGATGCGCTTCATTATTATGTTAGGTTTATCGTTGATAAAAAATCATACAAAGGTTTATTTAAAGTCGTTACACTTTTCTGCTCAATAGTTATGTTTATAAAGAACCGGATATGTATTGGAATTTCAAAATGCATTGTATAAAACAATTTAATATTTCAATTTTATTAATCATTAATTGTCCTAATATGATTAGTTAACCGCAGACTGTATCACTTTCTTTCATATTGTTACTCGTTCTTTATAATTCACACAGAGCATCCGTTTCTGATACAGATTTTCAAACCGCTCTTTTTATCTATTTATTATGTGGTACGAAGATGTCACAATGACGCTTTGGAATACAATATTGCTCATATAATAATTAATTTGTCAAATCAACATACGCTGATGTATTGGAACTCTCACTAACACCTCTGTCATCTATTATTTCTTTAATGCTACACAGTATACATAGACACGGTCAGCAATGAAAATGGAATGCAAAATACTATCTATTATATATTAACAATATATATATATTAATTCTTCCAAAGGTTTCATTTTTTTATTCATCTTTAATGTAATATTGCTGATGGTTAAATATTTTATTGCTGTTTTATGTAATGTAACATATTATTTGTATACTAATTATTTTCTATTTTTATGTACTTAATCGAAATAAGAAAGTAACGTCACTGCCTTAGAAAATAGTAAAATAATCAAGTAATTGAAGAATATTTTATTGTCGACTTAAATAAGTAATTAAAGTTACATAATCAGTAAAAGAACATTTTAGATAAGACATTTTTTTAATTTATTATTTTTTTGATGAGAAATCTGATTCATAATACGTATAAAAAATTATTTAAAGTCTATTAACTTATAAAGAATATTTTGGCAGAGTTTTAATAAATGATCGTGTTAAAAGTTAAGATAGTTTCAATTTATTCAAACTTCTTATTAGCCATAAATCATGTAATTTAAAGGAAATAAAAATCAGTTATGACGTGTGAAATGGCAATTTACTGAGTTATTGTTGCAATTAAAATATTAACTGTATTATCGAATCATTCATTATAATTTAATTATACGAAATTTTAGTAAAATGGATATAATCATGTTCTCACGGTTATTCACACATTTATCGTTATCAAAGAAGGTTTACATATTTGGTTATTAAGTTTTTAATAGTTTATCATTAAGCAAATAAATGAATACATAGCATAGTAAAAATATCATGATACGAGTTTTAAAAATACACCTATTAGTGTTCAAATATTTTGTTAATTCATGTCCAAAAAAAAAAAGAATATACCCATTACTGTCAGTCTATCAAAACTACAACCTAAAATTGAATACTGAAGTTTCTAGACACAGAAATCTTAATAATAGTGTTTACTTTTTCCCAATAATTTGAAATCATAATATTAGTGCTTTGACTTGTACGTTAAACTTATCTGAATACTAACGGTAAACTCTTATAAAACTGCGTGAGGCTATTGAAGATAATGACTATAATGATTATTTTTATGTTTACTTCAGATTTTAGCTGCGGTGATAGTTGCGGGCGTTCATTGTTCGGACCATGAATTCAATGAAGATGAGCATCAATACCAACAAATGATAAACACCCATGAAGATGAACTGGAATCGCATTCTCATTTATCCTTGTTAAAGGGAAACAACGATGGTGAATTTGGTGCTCGGGCCCAAATTAGCGAAGATCCTCAAGGCCGGAAACATGCACATGCTGTAGCGGTCTGTGACTGTAATGGTCAAGGTTTGTTTAAATGAAATTTTTTACTTAAAATTCTTCTGACTTATATCATTCTAAAAATTATCGGATTAGAAAAAAATTAATGAAAAACTTTGGGTTGGAATGTGTTTTTAAGTAAAATTTATTATTACTTAAATTAATTGGAAAACTCTTCGATATTGACGAAATATTTTTAATTATTTATATTTTATATATTTACATATTTTAGCTTCGATGCGAAGCGGAGAAGGTATTAATTTTACTATGATGTGTTTTTTTTTTTTTTTTATGTCTGTTGCCACTTTTTCTCAGCTCTCACTGGACCGATTTCTTTCA